CGCCGGAGGCCTCCCCGTGCCACCGCCGGAGGTATGGCTTCTACGAGAATCATTTCTACCAGAGCCACCAGCGCAATCCAACTACCTCTGATAGAGCCCCCACCACCCATGCCGGAGCGAGGGTCCGTCATGCCTACGACATTCTGAGCGACCTCGCCCAGGACACCAGAAGTTTCGCCACGAGAGATGTCCATGAGATCAGGCATCTCCCCCGCCATCGGTTCTACTGGGATGACATGCTCCCCGAACACCAGCACCTCATTTTCGATAGACTGGAACTCTTCCACGTCGTCGCGAGAGGGAACTGTAGGACGGCAGTCCTATCCCAGACGTCGAGGATTCGAGTCTGAGGTTTTCAGAGAGCTCCCTGACCAGCTACCCAACCAGCCTCGACGCGGACGCCACACGCCTCGTGCTCCCGCGCACACCAGCTACCGCCCAGACACGAAGTCGAAGAGGCCCCCTAATCGTGAGTCCGGCAGCTACGCTGAGTCTTCGAAACCCACCAGTGCCGTCATCGACGGCACAGTCGTCTCCTCGACGCTCCTGTGCGTTTTTCCTGTCGAGGACATTCTCGCCCATGCTCTTTGCGAGGCTGGCGTCTCGGCCGACCGTGCCCGAGCTTGGTCTTGGATCGAAGAAAACGACCCAATGGATCCCGACTCGACAACCACCGCCACCGAGCGAATCCTGGAGTGGCTCAGCAGGACCGACAGTCATTGAGCCCCACGCCGATGACGACTCCTTCGACACGTACGATGGCAAGGAGGAAAACCACACCAACACAAAGGAACGCACTACAGACAAACGAAGCGTCGTCGAAGACTCTCAGTCGGACCTGGGTAGCACTGCCTACAAGTCAAAAGCGACGGGACCTACACCGCCAGTCCACTCGACCCAGCAGGCACCTGAAGTCGACTGGGCAGTGTTTAGTGAGGCAAGTAGTTTTCACGGGCCGCCCGACTACAGCGGACTTTCCATTCGCTGCACGAAGGCTTCTTGCCTCACGGCCCGCCCAGCCCAGCTCTCAATTTTATTACTTCATTCCACTTAGCAGTATTTTACTAGTGGATGGCTGTAGTTCTGTTCCTTCCTTCAGTGAAGCGAAGACTCGCCTGCATGTATGAGGTTGAAATCAACTGTAGCGACGAGAAAGTGCGAATGGTTCTTCCAGCATCAAGTGGGAACTTTCTTAGGGTAATTGTTTATAAATGGTGCCAAACAACAGAGTAGCGGTGTTTATTTTAATTTTTATTATATAGAATGCGATGATCACCGAGTACTAGAAGTAACATGTATGCTCGGGCATCAAACTAAATAATGTAAGTAGATGTAGTGAACAAGAGTTGGAGCTAGGAACGTGTGCAACTTCTGACCAATTAGAAGTATTAAGACGTTTCTAGGTTCCTTGTATTTCACGTTATTGGATATCTGAGACTACTTGAAACAGTTTTTTCTAAAATGGCTGTCTAGCATTTCAATTAGACAAATTATTGGAAAAACCGAAATAAACCGGTTTTTATGAACGTGTAACCGGTAACCGAAACCGTAAAAATTAAAACCGTAAAAAACCGAAACGAAACCGTTATCAACAGGAAGCGGTAACCGTAACCGTAACCGAAACGTTATATTTTTCGGTTTGAGTCCCTGGCTGTCACTCGACGTGGGGGGGGAGGGGGAAGTCAGCTCGTTCTCGTCTCAGAACGCCGAACAATGCGTCCCCCTCGTCCCGGGCCGCAATAGCGTGTACCCGGCGAGAGTTTTCCACTGGTCTAGTTATTTTTGAAGCAACATCACAGCCAGAAATGCAGCAAAAATGGTTATCTTGCTTTTCTTTTTTTTTTTTGCGTCGGGAAAGAAGTACACAACAGCACAAGGACAGTCCACCAGAACACCTGACAACTTTAAGAAAATCAAAATCGCTGGCCGGGTCGCGGACTTTTTCGAAGTCAAACGATCGTCCGAGAGGAGCCCACAGCCCCACCCCACACCATGAGGTCCCCATCAACGCTCACGGCCATTGTGCTTACAGCTCGGGAACAGTACTTGTCCAAAGCCACGTGCACCTACGAACCACTGCCAACCGTCGACGGACCCGTCCGCGACCTGTTTTTGGACACCGCAACGCACGAAAACCCCACATCGAGGGCGACCAAACGACATGGCCCCAGCGAAGGCCTCGCGTTCACCAACCCACCCGTAGAAAAAAGAATGCGCGGACAAAGAGAATAAAAGATAACAAAGTTCAAGGGGCGCGTTTCCCCCGAACCTCCAGACCGCGGGCGGGTCCGCGGTCCGGAGGTTCGTCGAATTGCGAAAAAACCGAACGACCCTCTTCTAGGGTGTCGGTCGGTTCAGTTGGTGTTCTGTATGTATATTGCCCTTGTATTTTAGCGATTGATTGAACTTCTATGCTTCCTATGTGGACGGCCGAGATCCGGGCCAGATCTGGGCCGGACGGCCCGAATGCGTCCCAGGTGTGGCCCAGGCCTGACCCGGGCAGGACGGCCCAAATGCGTCCCGGGTGTGGACGCATTTACCTTGAAGCGCTTCAGCCGGGCCCGCGCCCGGCTGAAGCGTACGCTGCCCGACCCGCGCCCGGCCTACGGGCCGGGCCGGGCCCAGGCTTTCGGGTAGGCCCAGGCCCGTGCAGTGCTCTAATTTGCGTATACTAAATATGGGTAAACACTTATATTTTGTTGCCGAAAAGTGAAAACCGTTTACAACTCCCTGTAGCGCAGCTCTTGAGGAGGAGGAGGGAAGGGTACTGGGGGGGGGTCAACTGAGGGGGGGGGGGTCACGTGACCTTGGGGGGTCAGGTGACGATGACAATGCCGATGATGTCATCACTGACGTCACTGATGGCGTCATCAGTGACGATGACGATGCGGATACCAATGACGTCACCAGTGATGATGACGATGCGGATGCAGGTGACGTTATCAGTGACGATGACGTCATCGGGGGTCACGTGACCTCAGGGGAGTCACGTGACTTTGGGGGGTCACGTGACCCGGGGGGGGGGGGGGGGGGGGAGCTCGCGCGGTGCATTATGGGACATTTCCCATAATGCACCGTGCAGTTACGCCGATGCCGACGGCGACGCCGCTCAAGCCGGAAACGGGCGCCTAAGAGCCGCGCTCTAAAACAGCGACCTCGGAAGTGTATTTTACTTGGGGGGGGGGGGGGGGGGGGGGGGGGGGGGGGGGAGGAGGGGGGAGGGGAGGGGAGGGAGGGTGGGGGAGGAGGAGATTTAGCAGTTAAGGTAAGGGGGCTGAAAAAACTAAAATTATCAACTATTACCAAGATTTTACTGTTTATATTTTATTGTCACTACCTATACCATGTGCTCATACATTCATCCAAAATTCCTGTCGCGAAGCAATGAGGTGTTGACACAATCGGATCCAATAGTAGTAGCTATACAGTAGCATCGATCTACGGTGTCGATGTAAAATGCACTGGAAAATTGGGCGCCTGCACGCAGAAAGTTCACATTTTCAATGAGAGTGTGCCTTAATCAAGGACGCATTCCTGTGAAATTTCTCGTCGCAGCTTCGTTCCAGTGAAAAGTTATAGCAATGCATTCTTGAAACTTTCAAGAGAAAGTTTACTGCAGGTGGACGCGGTTGTCCTTCAGTGGTAAAACTTCATTTGCGATGCCCTTTTTTATTTCAGCATGTTTCCTGTTTTTATGGCATCTTTGAAAAGAATGTAAAACAGTCTGGGTGTATAATAGGATGTTCGCGTAAAGACAGGCTGGCTCTCCAAGAACCAAAAGGTGTCACGAAAACTAGACACAAAAATACAGGCGAGAATGACACAATTCTCTGACGTCTCCAACAGCCACCATGATGGCGGCGCTTCAGCACAAACTGCAGTGCTATCTCTCCCTTAACAGCCTGAGTCGCCTGCTAAGGCCTCCTCTTGCCTTGGAAGTTGGGATACTTTATTCCCTCAACTTGAAACATCTATACGCAGTTCCTTGTTCAACAAGGTTGTTTTTTTTTTTCTCGTGCAGGCCACCTCGCACTTCGGCTCTCCCACGGAAGCAATTACCCGACACACGTTGTTGCTCAGACCGCCAAAACAAAAAAAAACAAAAAAAAAGTGCAGCTGCAACAGAAAAAAAAAGCTAGAAGTAATCTTTGTGTTCTTTGGGAAATGTTTGGATTGGCCCACGAGGGAATAATACATGGCCCCTGGAATGCCACCATAAATTACCCCAAACATGCTTTTTGTCTCCTGGAGTGTCTGCAAAGAGGAGGAGGGGGGCGGGGGGAATCAAAAAAGTATGTTTGGCAAGTTCCAAGCCGTAGGCTTGGAACTTGCCAAACATCGACAAAGAGAAATGATTCAGAAGGGGAGGAAGCTAAACAAACACTGCAAAAAAAAAACAAAAAAACTTCATCCCAAAGTGATTGCCCACAAAGAGAAGTGTTTATGAAAGAAAGATAAGCTAAAAAAAAAACTGCACGCATGAACAAAAAAAATAAAAAGGCTTTTTAGAGCTTTGTTACAAGGTGGAAGCAAAGAGACAAGAAAGAAAGGGAGACTTTCGCCTTAGAACGAACGCATTGTGGAAGTTCGTTGTAAATGTTTTTTTGGTTTATCAAACTACTCGCTATATCGAACTAATCGTAGCGAGTCCTGCTGTTCGTTATAAACGGGTTTGACTGTTACAGAGCTGATTTCGTGTATAGTTTAACTCCCTCCATGACCTATATTCACCAGCTACAGTAGTACTGGAAGGTCACATTGCAAATTTAGAGTCAACACAGCTAGCTCAATCGTGCAATTTTCCACAACATTTCATGTGATCGAAAGGCTGCTATCAAAACAACTAGTGAGGTAGCATGTGCGCACATAAAATATAGTGTTTGCAAGTCACCTTCACGAATAAAATGCAGGGAAGTGCTGATCGGTCATTTGTGGCTTTTGGAGAGTTTACCCATTGGATGCAAGAAACGCCAAGAGATGCGTAAGATGGCCTCACGTACGTGTTGGGTACTGAGGGTTCACTGGGGTCTCGTCGTCATTCTTGAGCTGCACACGAATGCGGCCTCGGTACAGCAAACTGTCCTTGTTCTGCTCCCTCGGGTACAACTTGTTCTGAAGGGTGTGGAAAGCAAAACATTTGAGTGCCAAGTTACAAATACTTTCTACATACTGTGACTATGCTTGAAACATCTCGAGCAGGCAAGAAGGTTGGACACTGGGATAGAGCCATAATAAGATACAGTAACCTGCTGCCATCGATGCTTGCTTTGTAAATGAGAAAAGCTGGATATTTTTACGAAACACAAAGGTAAAGGAGTGGACAGGGGCACTACTGCTTACTTATGGCTTTTACTTCAACAAGTGTTTCCACGTATAAGCCTAAACACATACCTAATATATCACTTTTTTTTATATATAGTTTGACAGCAGGAAATTTAAGCAGTATGTCACAACTATAAAAATTGACAAGAAGCCACTATATGTTTCCCTGGAATCGATATGATTTATTACTGAGAAGCCAAAGGATGCAGCAGCTGTGAACCATGTGATGCAAAACTTGTTACCACATATCGTTTTCATGAGCAATAGTGCTCTCAACAAGTAAAGAAACAGAAGACAAGTTAAACCAAATTTTTTCTGACTTAAAAACGAAAATTGCTAATACTATAGTTAGGGTTTGGAGTTTTCAATTTAAACCGATAAAAGTACACCGAATCCATTTTCGGAACTTCGGTTTTAACCGAAAAAGGTCAGTTTGTAGCTTCGGTGTTTTCGGTTTAAACCGATAAAAGTATGTCTAATTCGTTTTCTAAAATTCGGTTTTACACGAAAAAGGTTAGTTTTTTAGGGCCGCGTCGAGATGGGTGGGGGAGGGGGAAGGAAGGGGAGAGAGGGCTTTGCAAGGTTCGACACTGAGTGACGTCTTCGTGATTGCCCCCTCCAAGGTCCAACATGCAACACAAGAGGTCTTCGATTGGCCTTTGCGGGATATCTGTGTCCTTTCTGTGATAGGGCTTAGTTTGTCAAGTTCCTGGTTCTAAAAAAAAGTCTGGGTGTCATGCACCGTCTCTCAAACTTCCCTGTGGTTAAAAACATAAATACAATGGATTTTTTTTCTTTTTGCCATTCCACTGGTTCCTGCACAGTCATCACCTCAGATGGTCACGTCATCTGAATGGGGAGGAAAAAGAAGCGATTATGCCTGCAAATTCCGCAATTTTGAGGTGTGTCCTGACAGAAGTTGTAGTGAAGACCACGTATGTACAGGGTGTCACAAAAGAAAATTTACACAGTCTTTTTTACCGCAAAAATAAACTAGACATCGCCGAACGCTCATTCTCCGCCCAAAGCTAAAGCTAGAGGTCACAACCAGATGCCAAAGTTTCAACCCGATCCGATAACTTAATCAAAAGTTATAAGTGATTTTCTGAAAATTTCAATGGGAAAAGGAAGCCCATTTTCGCTAGTTTTCGGTTTCAGGCCCCATAGAGCCCCATGTGTTTGAAAACTCCGTCGGCCGCCATATTCTCATTGAAATTTCCATAAAATCACTTATAACTTTTGATTAAGTTATCGGATCGTGCTGAAACTTTGGCATCTGGTTATGACCTCTAGCTGAACCTTTGGGCGGAGAATGAGCATTCGGCGGTGCCTAGTTTATTTTTGCGGTAAAAAAGATTGTGTAAATTTTCTTTTGTGACACCCTGTATATGTGCTATTATTCTTTGAGTGATCACAAATATCACAGCTACAAGGATCATCTGATCCGGTGTCCAATGGTGCTTCTTTCATATTCACCGGAAAAAAAACGGTAAACTTTTTTGGGAATAAATACACACCAAAAAAAAAATTGAATTTTAAAATAAACATCGAAAGAAGTATGCCGAATTTTGAAAAAATAAAGACCGAAAATGCGGAACCCTAGCTATAGTGTATAAGTATAGAGCTAAAAGCTTGGGTAGCAAAGTAGGCCACTGGTCAATGATGAAATTACAAAAGTGCAGAGAATACCTAAAAAGCATTGTTGGAAAGATGATAAGCAGGGAAAAAAGAAATGCCGGTAACTGTAAAACTAGACATGTAGCACCTAGCTGTAAGTGTACCATTTTTGTACACACTCTGCCTGACAGTGTTAGCGCAAACATGACAATGGCACGTTTTCACATTATACTTCAGAAGGGTATTGGTGGGCACAAAATTTTACCACTTAGGTTAGGGCCACATATTAGCACTTCTCACTAAGCTGATAGCTGTAGTGACAGCCTTTTGATCCCAAGACAAAAACAGGAAATTGCTCGTTTGTGCTAACAGTGTCATGCAGTGTACATACATCTGTTTTTATACTCAAAATTTAGATAAAATTAAATAAACACCTACTGCTTCTCAAACCGGTGAATAGGTAACACCAAACTGTCACAGTCCGAATCTACAGAAAATATTGAAAATGGTAAATGCCTAGTCAACCAAAATATGACCAAGCAGGAAAATCTAATTTTTGACTTAATGACTTAAGCAAGAAAAGTTACCAGATTGCCTCAAAAGGCAATCTAATAAAATTTATCTGATTGATTGATTGATAAGTTTTAAAATCCATATCATGGATTTTCAAACAGTGTTCCCAAGATCCCAAGTGCGCCCTCAGCAATTCTTCAAAAACAAATTCACTCTATCGTTCCATCCCCTTTACAAAAAAAAAAGACAGTTGGTGTAAAGGGATGCTGAACCGAAATTTGGATTCCACAAAGCATGGCGGCAAAAGCGTGCAACGGGATGCTACCGACACCAAAACATCGCTCATACAGCAATATCTCAAACCGATAACCGTATTTTTAAAAAAAAAGAAGGCGCATTTTTCAGATATGTTTATGTCTTGTTTCTCCGAGAAGGAGAGGGAACGGCCTCGCGTCTTCTCCGCCTTGAGGGGCAAAACGAAAAGGGGAGGAAACGAGATAGCTTGACGTCACGCGCCTTGTCGTCCTCGTGCAATCTCGACCTTTTTTTCCAAAAATATGGCCGTCCATTCGAGATATTGCCTTACGAGTAGTGCTGTAGTGATAGTAGCGTCCCGCCTACAGCTCCTGCATTGTTTTCTGAAATCCAAATTTCAGTTCACCATCCCTTTAAGCAAGATTTCTGAGCCATTCACTGATCACAGCATTGAGCAAAATGCTTCCTAGTCTGTGCACTATTGGGTCATTCCATGCCAAACGTCCCAGGCGTGACGCTCGACCATTGTCGATTTTTTCTAAAAAAATCACAGGGGTTCCTTATGTGTTTGAAGGGTGTTCATCTGCCCTTCATAAGTTTACTTATATGTACATTCGACCTCGTTCGGCAGTTCGTGATGGTGTCCTCGGTCTCGAGCTCGGTATCTCCCAGCCCCCGGTTCTTCTTCTTCTCCTTCTTGCTGGCCCTACATTACTCCCCCCTCCGGGAAGGCCAAGGCACGGTTTGCCAATGCACATGTCGGCAAATTGATGACTTGGTCGGAAGTGGTGGAGGGTGTCGCAACGATGATTTCAATGATGTCTGGGGCGAAACTTGTACACTCTCAATGTATGCGGGTTTCAGTCGATCAACAGACACCATGTCGTGTCTGTTTCCTAGGTCTAAAAGGAAAGCCTTGGGGCCCCGTTGAATGACGGAAAACGGTCCCTTATAAGGGGCCTGCAGAGGTGCAGCTAAAGCGCACGCTGGCTGAGGGCACACACTTCAGCTGCTACTAGCGGCGAGCTTCCTCGCGCCGCACGCGCCGAGCGAGCAAGGATAGCAGTGATAGCTTTCACTGCACTAAGAGGCGCATTGCTGAACCTTGGGGAATGCTGAGCGAAGGGCGTAAATACATCAGAGTAGGCCACGCACCCTCGCCCCTAGGCTCACTTCCAGGTAGCGCAGCCTGTACCGCGAGCCACGCGCTCTTCTGTTTGCATTTCATTTTTCCCCGATAGTACATGTCTTGAGAGCAGCGCTCTCACAAAAACTAGAATTGAAGGCTTGCAAGCGAGTAAAAGATGCTGAAACCACGAACCGCTTCTTTCTACGGCTCTCTGCGGGTCTCTAACAACAATGCTAAAGAAAGGAGCCCGGCACTTCCCCAACACAACATGGGAAGATAAAGATGCTCACTGAGCATCTGCCACACTGGTGGCACGTACCTCAACCCCGACCTTGAACCCCGTGGCATCCAAGACATCCCGGATCTCCTGGTAGGTAGGATTCTCCACGCACTGGAAATAAGGCCAACAAAGCTTATTCGCTGTGCTATCGGCACATGATAAGCAAAATCACCAAACCCAACAATTAAGGTGGCAATGCAGGCAAGTTGGTTCATGACTTAAGAAATTGGGAACAGCGCACAAAAAGATGAGGGCAACGAGAGTAGAGCACAGGATGAACGCTTGTCCTGTGCTCTACTCTCGTTGTCATCGTCTTTTCTGCGCGCTGTTCCCAATTTCTTAAACCCAACAAATCCATTCTCTACACATTTAAATGCAAAGTTCAGCACATTTGGTTTCCTTTGGAAAAATATAAAAAGTATAGGTGTTAAAATACTTTTAAGCAAATCGGCAAAGCCAAAGAAATCTCCGATGCTTGGCCACTAATGCCAAGATAATTTCTGCTTTTAGGACTGTATGGAGATTTCTTCATCCCATTTAGCTGCCTTGGTGCAGAGGAGCTTAGAACGGTATAATCTGTCCTTGCTGCGCAAGGCAATTCGGGCTATAAGTGAAGCCCCAAAAACTTTCAGACCACCCAAGACCATCTACTCTGCACTCCGAAGCTTGAAACAAAACATCCGTACCACGGAGATTGTCTGTCATGTCCAAACAATGAACCATGGGCGCCATCTTGCATGATTCGACCAATTGTTGGCGCACTCCTACCATCTGTTGAAGTGTGTAATGCAGACGTCCCAAACAGTGGCGTAGCTAGGCCATCCAACACCCGGGGCCCTTAGGTCTTTTCTTTCGTAGCATCCGCCACCCTTCACTTCCCGAGATCACAACCAACCAGTAAAGCAGGAGGGGGGGGGGGGGGGGGGTTGCTGCCAGAGGTGGCACCCCCCTACGTAACTGGGATGCCTGGTACTGGCGCCCAAAGCCCTCGGGCTCCCCCGGTTGCTACGCCGCACTGATCCCCAATTTAACAAACTCGAGGGAAAGTCTGAGGATTTTAGAGCACAGCTCTTAGGGGCCAGTTTCCGGCTTGAGCGGCGTCGGGGTCGCCGTCGCCGTCGTTGTCGGCGTAACCGCGAGGTCACGTGACCCCTTAGGTCACGTGACCTGAAGTCACGTGACCCCCTTGAGGTCACGTGACCTCAAGGAGTCACCTATCCCTCAGTATGCTTTCATCTTCCTCCTCAAGAGCTGCGCTCTAACCGGCGTTACAGGGAATTGTAAACGGCTTTCATTTTTATCATTGCCATTCAGTACCTGCGCTAGGGCCCAGATAAACCCGAGATTTTCAATTGGTGTGCAGACTGGAGCTGCGAGATTAATGAAATATTACAATTTCTTGGTTAAAATGCCATTTTAAACTATATATTATTGTAGATTTGCTACCTTCTTTTGTGAAAAAAAGGTTGCCGCAGCTTAACCAATGCTTGTGATGTAACGGGCGATTACCGTGTTTCAGCAGTGGAAATTGCATGTCCCGTTTTCGTTACCACAACGGTAAACTTACTTTCGACCTGGGTAACCGACGACCCTCCGCGAGCGTCTTCTTGCTGTTGATGTAAGCGGGGTAGAGGCACACCCACCTGCGTGAGAATATTGAGAATTCTAAATCGGAGCCGGCGCAGCGTATTCACACTGTGTAAACTGCAAGCAAATAAAAAAATTATTTTTTTATTTTTTTTTTATTTTTTTTTTTTTTTTTTTTTTTTTTTAGACGGACACGGGACTCGTGGTGTTGCGTGGGCATTCGGTCGCCGAGGTGTTCGTGTCTTTACCGTTATTTATCACGCTTTACACCAGGCCAGAAATACTCCTGAAATCAAGTAAAGGGCATAATGAAGTTAGTATACTAATTACAGACGCTCGAGGCAAGGCAGTCCCGATGACAACGCGTAGCATATGCGTCAATGGCCGGCATTGTCGACACATTCCGATATCGTGCTACTTACTTTGCGACAATTCAATTGTATTCTACAAAATGTGTCTGAGCATAATAGTGCCCCGAGTAAGGAATCGGTTTTGTGGTAAAGTTGGTAAAGCGTGTGCCTGTGCAGACAAATCACGAACCTTTCCCGGTCAGAGTGCTGTTTCGAAGCAAGGTAGGCAGCCGCCATTTTGTCTAAAACTGATTGTGTGATGATGATGATAGCTGATTTATAAATGCATAGAGAATGGCTGACTCCTTTTAATCAGGCGGTAACTAACGCCACCTAGATGTTGATTGAATGGATAAATGCATGGTTGCTGTTCTTTTTAGATAGGGCGGTGGCTTGCGTCACCTAGCCGAGTATTATTATTTTATAATTTAATTAGATTCACGCTCTATCCCTCCCTTGATTTTAATCGACGTTTCTCTAATGTCCTTTTACTGAGCATTATTTTTATTTTAGAGCTTTTAGCCTTCCTTGCACGTAGTGTGCTCTGGTATGATAGTCGTAAGGTTCGACGCCGACAGCAGCTCACTGCAAATAAATAACTTAATCGAGGGAAGTTGTACATTGACACTCCGTTCACTGCCAAACTAACAGGGCAGTGAAAGCTACCGTATTCGCCTGAACGATCGTCGTCCTGGCTTCCATCACCTTACTTCGCTATTCGCGCTTCATTGTGTGCAAGAGCGTGATCACGTGGTCAAGACCGGTGATCGAAAGAGCACGTAGCTTCCACCGCCCTGTTAGCTTAGCGGTGAACCACTGAACTCCACAGCCTCCCCCGCGCCGACGCCTCCCTGATAGCAAGGCTACATCATCTACAAGGGGCCACCGCAGGGCACAGATTCTAGACTACATCAGCATTCGGCAGGGTCTCGTGTCCGATGATCGAGAACACGAATCCCAGCCGAAAGCTGACGCAACACTCGTGTCAAATCTGTGATCAGCGCTGACACCCTGTGGGTGACGTCACTGACATAGAAAATCCAGTGTTGTCTTGCTGCCTAGGGGGTCTAGCTCCCTCTTTCTCTTTCCGCGTACATTTTTAGATTAAGGACCTAAAGTTCCCTTCTGAAAAGAGGAGATCAAAATTCATATAAATTATATAAGGCGTTCTTTTGTGCTCTTATATCGTCTTGCATGTTTGAGCACGTTAATATAGTTTTATTACATTACACAAATAGATCACATACATTTTAATATTTTTAAAACGAGATTTTTATTCATTTTTACCAAAAAGGAAACAAGGTGAGGTAGAAAAAAAAAACTGCCGTTGCAGCTTGACAAGGCCCCTACCCTCCTTATATAGTTAAGCTCTGGAACAAGACATCAGAAAAATTAAAGTGCAAAATGCAATTAAGTTATCAAATATCTTGTACATTAGATATGCTTAAAACAATACTAAACACAACTATTAGGATACTGTGGTTTTCTTTTTTTACTTCACGTTCTGATTTTTTTTTTTTTTTTTTTTTTTTTTTTTCAGAAACGATGAAAATGGAATTTGAAAGCTTATAGGCCTACAATTCTATGAGAAAAAAAAAATAGATGAGGTAATTGAATTGACGCTTGCTGTAGTTACTTCTTGTTCTGGGTGTTTTCGAAGAAGATAGGAAACGAGGATGTGCAGTACAGCGTCTGAGTTACAAAGAAATAGGAACCCGCGACGCGATGGTATTTCCAAAGTGTGATGGTGATCACGACAGCTCGGGAGCGTGTAGGGTGTCTCGGCCTGTTGCTATACCTATTTCGGCACGCCTGAGCGAAGTTTCATCACGGTTTCACTTCGAAACGTGTCCCGCCTCTTTCTCGCGAATTGTTTTGTCTGATGTCATTGCGCTCTGCCAGCGGGGTATTGTCTCGCTCGAAGTGAGTCACCTGTCGCAAGAAGATGGGAGGGAAAAGAATAATAAAAGGGGTGTGGGAAGGTTTTTCGTTTGTCTGGACAACCGGCGCACATGTAGCAATCGTCGGTCTGATATCAGCAATGTTCTTGACATTCGCGAGAAGACATTGACAGACACTTGTCTGGAGGAACAGACTCGAGACAGTGTTGCGCGTCGCAGGAGTGCACAAAGCACGTGGAACAAAAGTTTAACAGGAGGTTAGATCGCCGTCTTACTGACCGATATCGATATCAGAGGAAGCATTGTTGTCAGCACAGTTCCAATTCCACTACCAAAATGCCATAAGAATACTATTTTGCCTAAATATGTAGACGGTAGAACGTCAATAAACAAGTGCTCGCTGAAAATTGATTATGTACTATTTCTTGTTAATGATATAAGAACATTATATTGTCTAAATATCTAGATCTGTACAATGTCAACAAACCAGTGTTCGCTGAAAATTGATTCTGTACTATAGTTTTGTTTAACCCGAGACTGGGGTATTTCGGAAAAGGGACGAGAAGAAAAGAGGCCACAAGGAGGCGACGTCTCAAACACAGCTAAGGATTTTATTCCATCGTATGCACTTTTATACACACCACGTCCACACACCACCAACCAAGTCAACCAATGACAACATACCACCCGGAATACACTAAGCCAAACATAGGCCCAAAACATTACAAACGAAAAATCTTTCAGCCAGACAAAAGGACAAGATATGCCTCCGACCACACAAAGTCAACAAAAAACCGTTAAAAGGTTTTTTTTTTGTTTTTTTTTTTTTGTTTTTTTTTCAAACCCGCAAACACACGGAACCAAAGGGAAAGAGGGCATACAAGACCTAATTACACAAAGCCAAGCAACAAACCATTAAACTAGCCGGTACTTAATCACCGTAAAAAAAAAAAAAAAAGGCTGCAACGGGTCATTCTAACCCGCACTACACATTGAAGGAAAGCGGACGAGGGTAACCATGAACCAAAATACACAAAAGGGAGAATGCAAAAGTTCCAACCTCAACTACACACTTGAAAGAAGTAACAAGGAATACCAGAACAAACAATATGTCCTGCACCTGTACTGCATCTTTGTAGGCAACGCACAAGGTGCTGGATAGCTAAAAAAAAAAAAAAAAAAAAAAAAAAAACGGGGGGGGTTTACATCTTGAGGAATTTTCTTGAGCTTTCTCCTAGATGCATTGATGGCTGGCTAATACAATTTCCCATCGACTTAATTCGGACTGTTTCCTTCACTACCCTTTTTATCTCACTTTCCTCTCGATGTATTACCTCCGTTTCCGACCAAAACACCTTACAATTGTTGCACTCAGACACGTGCTTGGCGATCTCCGAGTTCGGTGCCCCGTTTTTTACATTTCTTTTATGCTCGGTCAGTCTGTCATTCACGCACCGCGAAGTTTGCCCCACATATCTAAAACCGCATGCTAAGGGTATCTCATAGACTACACCTCCTTTGCAAGCCACTGACCTGTCCTGATGTTGCCTTCTGCATTCCTTTGGAGGTGCAAAGAACGGAGTCATCCTGTTTAATTTGTAATCAGATGAAAACACTACGTCAACTCCAAATCTGTGAGCACTCGCTTTAAGGTTATGCGAAACACTGTGGTAGTACGGGACTACGGCAACTTTTTTACTTCTTTCTCTCGTTGTTCCATTTCTCTCGCCGAAACTTGGGGAGAGCTGCCTCGTGACGAAAACTTTATCATAACCCGCATCCTCTAACCTCACCCACTGCCTTTTGATGGCTTGGCCTACATAATGAAGACATGACTTCTTTAGAGCGTTTCCGATTATTGATTTGACCACCCCAGCCTTCTGTACTGTTTCTTTTTAATGATATATAGCGTCTCGTAATTAGATGCCGTACGCGTACAAAAATAAGGTTTGCACACAGTAAATAAAAATCGTTGTACACGACGTAGTGAAAGAAGAAAAAAATAATGTACATAATATCTGTAATATCTAAAAAAAAAACACATACACATTATTAAAGAAAACGACAAAAAGGAACTTCGCTTTACCCCCTTACTCAAAATATACTTCCGGCATCACAGCCTGTTTTTTAATGCCAGGAAACAAGACCCTTAGGCAGAAGGGTCACTGGTTACAAACATGTCAGTAAATGCGCCGACGGTGCGACTAGACACCTTCGTAGAGGGTCTATAAACAAGTGTGCCGTTACAGCGCTCAGGCTCACCCGGTGCTTCCCGACTCCGGGAGAAACCATGAGCCGTGCTATGGAGACGACCAGCTTCGGCCAAAAGACACTCGCGAACTCGCCGAGAAAGTAAAAGCATGAAGTGAAGCTAAATTAAACACGCGCGCGGGCGAACACAACTTGGCGACAGCATGGCGCCCGCGGGCTCCCACTCCACGCGCTCGTCTCAAGCCCGCGCTGGCCTCGCCGTCGCCGCGTGCAATCAGACCCCGCAGGTTTGCGGACGAGGGTTGACGTCGCTCCTCACCCTCCAAGTTGAACCCCAGGTCATGCCTGGCTCTCATTCCCTGGTCCGTGTACATGTAAACGGAGCACGGCACGCTCTCGTAGAGAAAGAATTACGACCCTCGAGAGAGGCTCGTCTAAACATCGGTGTAAGTCACGTACACAAAGAACGACGATTGGGGTTTACGAAGAACATACAAAAGACACAAACAAGCGACTTAGAAAAGCGTCGTATATTCCATTTCTAACATTTCTAACCCGTGATATAAATGTGGTCTTAAGGCTTGTCCGGATATAGGCTTATCACTGGAATAGGTGACCGGCGTTTGGCAGCAGCCTCAAAGAACTCTGGGTAATATTCACTTCCGGTTCGTAGCTAGCAGCCGACGCAGCCCCATGACGGCTACGGAAGCGTGTGCGGGAGTTGAAACCCGATCAATCCGGGCCATCTTCTTCTGCTGCTGGGTGACTTACACACTTCTGAACGTCTCAAGTTACTTTTACGGATAAGTTAAGTACTAATCGGTACGTAGAAGCATCGAGAACGGCCACGAAAGCGTAGAGCGAGTGCGGCCGGCGGCAAGCTGCACTCGCACAGTGCTTTCCGGATCTTCGCATGAAAACTCAGGTTGGATGTTTCGTTTTCCTTTTGAGCCAGCGTTCTTCATTTGGGTTCTGTTTATTTTTGATGGTTATGTTAGATCATATCACCGACTGAAATAGGCGCGAATGTAAGCCGTGGAACGCGGCCAGCTGAAATGTTCGATCGGAGGTCTGGCGTACTTTTCTCATTTTGTTAGAGCACCTGAGTCTGGGTAAGAAAATCTTCAGGCAACTAAAAGTTGAAGACAGGGAAAGAAGT